CACACATACTCCCTCCCCTCCCCTCGTGCAGAACTACAAAATGCATATGAATGAGCATCAGTAAAAGAACAGACAAAATGTAAGGTGCAGGAGGTGCGGACAAGCAAACTTGTGTGTGCGCATTTCCCACTAGAGTACACAGATGTGGTGGACCTTGCACCTCAGAGAATACAACAATGACACGGCCGTCTCATCAAAACATTACAATCATTTAAGAATCATACATTGCTTGATAGAAGATTGTAAGGTAAGGCTGAGGCTGTTCCAATTTTGGATCTACTCGTATGGGTGAAAAAGGGGTTCTTGCGCTGACAGTTTAAAACACAGTCATTCCCTCACAGTCCGCAGCCCACCAGAGTGTGATTCTACCTCACTCACTGGTACGCACACAGAGTAGCAGAAATGACAGGTCTTGGCCAGCCAGGTGCTAAGTGAACTGACCAGGCTGTTCAATGTCGCCTGCAGAGCAGCCTTCACGGCCCCAGCATGCCACAACTATACAAAGAGGCAACTGCCCTAGCAATCGACTTGCAGGCCAGTCAAAACGTGTAACCCTCAGCCATGCTTTATTCAGCAGGATTTGAACTCGGTTTACACGGTTCTGTCACCATGGCAACATGCACTCGCATACCTTTGATAGTTTGTTAGTTACTATAAACTGTTATTTGTAGCTCACATCTGGAACGATCTGAGGGCGTAGCTCTTCAGGAAATGGAGGTTGCGATTGCCCTTTGATCCCATAAAATAGTGATTGGAGGCAACCGAAAGCCGACATAAAGTAGAATTGTGCAACAGTGTGATGAAGCAACCTAGGATAGGGAGTGCAGAGCTCCGGTAAGTAACAACTCGTTGTGGACTGAAATCATATAGGCAAAGAAATCCGGGCATATTATTTGGATGCAGTGCATCTGACAGGATTAATAGTATTCTCGGGACGTAACTGATATCTCCGGGAATGTGATTTATTGAGTTTTATTCTAATTTATTTTATGATTTTGATTCCGAGGCTGACAGGCCCGAAACCAGGTATCACGAAGAATTACCCACTGTTTCTGTTCTTTGCTCACAGACCTGGGTCCTGTGACGACCTGGCATATTTTTTGGGGAAGAACTCATGAGCTTCCCTTCCGGAGGGATGCATGAGCAACTCATGTATCGATTCGTTTAGGAGAGTTTTCCAACAGGACCGATTTTCTTGTATCCACACGAGCAGGCGGAAGGCATGATGTCGGTGGATCTGTCGAGGAGCGTTCCGCTGAGTTTTCACCTATATGTACGAAGAGCGAGGCTGTGCTTGTCCTTCTGAATGAATGTGCACCTCCTGATGAGCTGGGAGAAGCACCAGCAGAACCCGGTCGAGGATTCGCCCTGTTCGCAAGGCTAGGCTTGGTAGTAGGATAGTAGCTAGAGATGATGACATCGAGATGAGTGTGTGAGCTTGTGGAATTAGGTGGATATGGTATGATGCACGTAATGTCTCTTTGCCATATTTTATTATCCCCTGGCATTAGTCTACTGCCACAGTCTCTCTCTCTCTCTCTCTCTCTCTCTCTCTCTCTCTCTCTCTCTCTCTCTCTCT